CCCCCCTCCCTCTTCCCACGGGCGTATATCAGGAATTTCATCTATTTCATGGATTGCGTTGGTTCCTTCCCATTCTTCTTCCTCAAAATTAACCCACTTCTATGAGGGATGATATTGAGTATTTGCTGCAATCTGATAAACTTCATATCAGATGTTTCCATAGGGCTCTCTTCTTCCACGTAAACATCTGTCTGAGCTGCTTTGTGGCACCTTCTATTTTGGCGACCTACATGTTATTGATGTTAAAAATACACTCCTTGAGTAAGCAAGAGCACCTTGTCACATGATCGGCAAAATGGTTGTGTTGCCTTTTAATAAGAACTTGGCGAATACACTAGTCTTAGTGAGCAGTGAGTGAGCCCTTTGAAGTAATTTGCAGCACCCTCCCCACCACTACAAAACGAAATTCGGCTAATCACCTAGCGTGGATTCGACCAGGAATTTATGGGCGACGATGATAAAGCCAACTTCTTGCCTACAGAAGTGGTTGCTTGGTAGAAGTATTAGTGGGGATGTATAAGAAGAGTAGAGATTTGTGTCAAAATAGTCTCCTCGCATTTTAGGGGTAGTGGTAGTGTCGTCTGTTCAGGGATGGATGTCCTCCTCTATCCGTGGTGGTGAATACATTGTCATAGATTTAACGACTATGGAGACGACACTTGTGACTCTCATCACTGTTTTATTTACCCCTGAATGTTTGATTAAAGTAATCCTTTATGCCAGCAATTCTTTGATCCTTTTATTGCATAAGCAAACATCCTCTCATTCCAGTTTTCCTGAGTACTGAGTAGTGCGTCCCTATGAAAGAGTAAAACTGCACTGTTGATATCCACGTTCCGTGGAATTGACTTGATAACATTTGATGGGTCTATCATTATGAAATTCTGAGCAACCACTGACTAAATGCCGATTTGATAATGAAGTCTCATCCAGGCACCATCGGGTGTTGTATGTAAGGCAACTGGAATGTCTCAGTCTAGGTCGCAGTGGACACAATGGCAAGCCACTTGCGCCAATCAAATGTCGTGGATAAAGGAGGTGGCGGTGGAAGCATGGCCGACCACGAGAGTGCTTATTGTGTGAGGCCAGCTACCTCCTCGACAATGACAGGGATATGGGTATGCGGTTGTGCATTCGCTATCAGTCCTGGACGAAAGCCAGTCAGCCAGTTAGTGTCCAGGTGATTCCATGCCTCTATTACACCATCTCCTTCATTACCGCACTCATCCACTATTCCTCAGTGATGTTAGGGTCCCACTAGCACAATCGCTTCTTTCCATCCTGTGGTGTTCACCTGCGACGTGACACCACTGCATCATTCATTTGATTTCACTTGACAGAACCTCTCAGAAGGCACTTATAAGCAATGGAGTGAAGTATTCCAATAAAATGTCTCCTAAATGAAAAATCCACCCTTGTTCACCTGGATTCTACAAACGCTACACATAGAGATGCTCTATAACGCCTCAATTAATAAAAATTGCAAATTTCTTACTGAAAGCATTGTATTCCCTGTGCTTTACTACTTACCAAACACCCCCAACTGACAACTGTTCAAGTACTTCATCAACATTACTTCAGCGTAGTCTCCACTCGTTTTTCAGAATTTCCTGTGCTGCAAAATAAACGATTTAATCACTCCAGTCCTATAACGCATTTAGTCAAATAATTTCATTGCATTGAGGGTATCAAGGGAGCAATTTATTTCGACAAGCGATGGGATCCTAATGAATTGACAGTGACCACATAGGAGCTAGTACGGAGGAAGAGAAGAGCCTAAAGGAAAACCCATCACAGACCAAATGCTTCAGTGCTCGACCAATGCCACCAACATTGGCGCTGCTGTGTCAATCAAATTTACCACTGTTTAAAAGCTAGAAAGATGCACCTATCGTCTTGAGACCAAGGAGATTACACATCCATTTTGCTACACGGTTTAGTTCCAATAGCTATAAAATAAATAATAAATGTAAAGAGGAAATAAGATCCTTGAGCCTCGAGTAAGCAGCAATGGTGATTGCCTCTGAGCCACATTGGACACTTATCAGTGGTTCGAAAAGGTTAGAATGGATTTGGAGTTTTACCTTTACAAAAACTACAACAACAGGAGAGAGGCCAACATTTACAAATGGCTGATCTCGAGGGATCAAAATACAGTTAATCCATTACTTCCATAACAATCCCACAAATAAAACACTAGGCCCATGACCAACCCTTCCTAATTTAACTGGAAAGGAGGTGACCTTAATAAACTCAGCAAGTGTTAAGCACTATTGAGTCATCACTGATAGCCAGCAGTGGTGTTTTATCCAGAGAACACAAGACGCGAATATTGCAAAGTTGTCAACAAATCAGCAATGAATGTCAATGTGTGAGAAAGAGGGAAAGGAAGAGAGACGGATTTAGAGACCCGACTTTGCGTTGAACTCCTCTCTACTATTAATCAGGCTAGGCACAGACTAAGTGGGCTTTCAAATTCACAGAGATCAGGAGAAGGTAAGGGGCTATACCGAGATCAGGAGGATAATGCAAGAAGGACAAAGAAGAGGATGTGAATCAGAACACCTTTTCTTTGACTTTTTGGCCTCTACCTCAACCATCCCTGCTTTTATCAACGTTGACGCCAATGAAGCGTAGGAAAAGGACCCAAAGGCAAAAAACATCACTTTAGCGAGAGCAGGCTTCGA